GGGGGGGGGGGGGGTCGAATGATCTCGAGAGAACATCACGCCTCCCCTCCCTCACTCGAACCCATTTTTCCAAACGAGGTACATGTAGGCTTCGGTCACGCTGTCTCAATCAATGAGGACTTTGTGACTCCGAGCACGCAATGACAAAAAAAGCACAGATTACGTGTAGGCTAAGCTTGCATGGCCAACGACATCACGGTAGGCACCACACCGCGAGACAAACACGACGATACAGATAGGCGCTCAATCAACTAGCACGGACACAAAATAGACACATTGTTCACCGTCAAAACTAACGCAGCCAACGAATCACAGGCCCTGAGAGGGGTTTCAAAGAAGCTTCAAAAGAACATCACGTGATCGTAATGATTGGTTTCGAGGCTCGACCGACCACCAAAAGTAGCACCTACACAGTACCTCAAGTTTTCTTTTCTTGCTCCCTGCTCTCCCTCATCGGCTTGGCTACTGACTCGATGCATGAATATCATCTTCGAACAAGCCGAACGTCAAAGCCAAAGCACAAGAACATGCTACCGCGACAGATACACACACACGCTCGCTTGGATGTCCACTTTGCGGACGCTCCAAGGGGCAAGGGAAGACTGCCTGCCCCGTTTAAGCGCTTGCCCCCATTCTCAACCGGACTTAGGAAGTGATCTTTGTACAAATCAATCGAAATCGAAAACAGGCATCACGTACCCTCGCACCCTCGAAACGATGCAAGTGGAACCAAGGACAGCTCCCTGCCGTCTTCTTCCGTGATCGCGTTGTCTCAGTATTCTCGACACAGAGACCACGGGTGGGGGCCTACCGAGAGACGCTGATTATCACGATCAAGAGCAAAGCAAGAACGAGAAGGACAATAATTCGTTGTCACCATAATCATCAATGGAAGCCGGAGTAGGGGCCCGAAAGGCGGATGAAGGTGTCCTCCGGGAGGGCTTCCGCCTCATTCGCCGTGCCAAGCCACCTCCTCCTTTGCTTGCGGCGGGACGAGGTGATGGCCAGCCAGGCCACCAGGCCGGAAAACAGACCCCCCACGAGAACCAAAGCAAGAACCGTGCCGCCCTCTCCTCCGTCACCGCCGCTGTTGGTGGCATCGCCTGATGGATACAACGAGGAGGAGGGTGGTTTCGAAGTGAAGGAACATGATGAGGGGGGTTTCGACAAATGGAAGGAAATACGTGAAAGTCTCCTACGATGTCTCAAAAGTGTTACACGCCTGCTGAGAAAAAACAGAGGGTTAGGGGGGTTTATCTTAACCCACAAATGGAAGGAAAGAGAACGTGAACGCCTCCCTCGATCACTACAATTTTCAATCATACGAGAAAGTCTGCTATGAAAAAGAAACAAAGGAAGCGCTTCACTCGTTCGGGGAAAAACTCATGAAACCACCGGACTGCAACGTTACATCAATAGTCATTCAAAGCTATTCGAAAGTTCCATACCGTCGGCGGCGGTTTCCTCCGTTGCCGCGAAGGACACGAAGTCGCTGCAGGCGTAGTTGTCGTAGTCTTGGGTATCGTACACGCAGGACTGGAGCTGCCCATCGCGAGTCAGATCCCAGCCCATCATCGACCAATCCATGCTGACCTCCTGGTGCGACAGCATGTCGTTTTCTACGTTCTGCGTGATGTCAGCAAGGGGGAGGTGGTCGTCGTGTGTGTGAGTGCGTCCGTGCTCACCACCCTGTACGGCCTCAGCAGTTTCTCAATCTCTTTTATCTGGGTGCAATGAACCGTGGCAAAGGCGGTGGAAGTTGTAGCACCAGGACCTACCGGGGCACATTCAGCCTCTGCATGCTGGATCGAACCACACAGCGTCCAACCACGTCTACCCGGCACAACACGAAACGATTCCAACTTACCTGCTCGACCACGAGCTCAACCCACGCCGGGGGGTCGGTCTGCTCAGCGACAAGCCAGATATCGATGAAAGGGGCAGTGTCTTCGAACCCTCCAGCGCCCCCGCCGTCCCCCCACGTGACTGAAAACGACAGAGATGACCCATTCTGTTCCGCACGCGGGACGTCAACGTTGCTGATGCCGTCCCCTGGGGTCGCGGACGGAGCTTCTGCCTCGGGAAGGATGCCAAGCCCCTTTGGGTATGGTGAGGAAGAACAAAGAGGTCAAGTCGTTAGAGGTATGAGGAATTCGGTATCGGTGGAACGTAGATATTGCCCGCGGTTAAGACGGAGCGGTCGAACTTGGGTGCCTTCCCGGCAGAAAACTGTGTCTAATGTATGCTTGCTCAAAATTGTTGTTGTTTGCTTCGTCGACGGGAGTCGAGGAATCGAGGTTCTGTGTAGCCGAAAAAGGTTTTCAATGTGCTGCAGTCAAGGTGTCATGATGCTGCCGGCGAGGGTTCGCGCCCGAGGATGAATAGGCAAACAGACAATGCTTGCTTGAAAAAGCAAACAGACAGTGCTTGCTTGATGAAGGCTATTTATTGTACCGGTCAAGGGTGCACGAAAACAGTCCTTTTACACCTAGATGCCCATTTCACATTTCCGAGAATTCGAACGGGCCGATAGTCTAATTCCTACAACGGAAAAGGGGACCCGCGGAAGGGGGTCATGTTTTTGTCGGGGTACGACCGGTCGCCCCGGTGGTCTAGTGGTATCCTCGTAATCCGCTGGTCGCAGAGGTGGTGAGTTCGAATCCCCATGGGGTGAAAACTTTACGAAATTTGCGGGTGAAAGCGAAATATAGCTATAATGCTCTCGTGAGTACCAAACTTCGACGTTAGCACCGTTGACGAGGGAAAGGGACGGCTTGACCCTCTCGCGATAAAAATAAGATTCAGCACGCACCGCAGGAGGAAGGTGGGGCATGAAAAGAAATAAAAAGAAGAAAATAGTCCTGGTGTTTACCCCCTCCTGTGTGACCCTGGATGGTTGTAGTTGTACGAGAAAATACACTGACAAGTGTAGTACCCTACATACGCTGAAAGGTGTAGTACACGTCTCACCACGAAAAATGGGGGGACGGCCGCCATAATAAATAGGACGAAAACACACACACACACACACACACACACATCTAGCTGCTGACACGATGACTGTTGGATCTTGGGAGTGTACAATCATCAAATTGGGAGATGCAGCATACCACGATATCCTGGCTTCGGCTGGGCTTG